AAAAAAAAAAAAAAAAAAAAAAAAAAAAAAGAAACTAAAAAAAAGAAAACAGTAGAAAATATTAAAAAAAAGTATAGATTTGTTTTAAAACAATACTTAGTAAAACTTCTAAAAAAAACTCAAGCAAATTGTCAAAGTCATAAATAAAAGAAAAAACAAATTATTTTGAATAAACAAAAATTAAAAATAAATCAAAGCTCTTAATATCGAATATTCAAAAAAAAAATTGATTACTTTGTAATATTGAAAAATCAGGTACAAGTGAACTAGGAAATATCGCATATACTTTTAATAACCTTAAAAGAGGGTAGGACTTCCAATATATAAGATATATACATAATATTAATTAATTATTAAATCTATAGTCAAGCTACTGATAGAATTGATGAAGATATGGGATGAATTATCGAACATAAGAAAATGAGATGAGTTATCGAAACAAAAGAATAGATATCCAGTTTGTCTGGTTGGGGTGACTGGGATCACTTCATTAGCTAGCTCGCCTGCCTAATCACTCAGAAACTACATTGGATATTCTATTTCCATTTTTTGTTACATGAACTTTCTCAACAAATCTCCCATTTCTTGTGAGTTCAGGTTATACAAATACTTCCAGAAGTATAAAACAGGCAATGCAAGCACTTGGATTTCAGGTTTAAGTTGCCTGTCAGGGGAAGTGTTGCGTGTTTCTGTGGCACGCCCAGAGTAGAGCAGAAGGCGAATTGCATATTCAGTTTCATTGGCATTGATATGCTGGAAAATGTGGCAAAGTTATTGTACACTCAGCAAAATACTGCATACATTTACAATTATAATTCGCATAATGGGCACGCGTTTCGGCTGGCAGCGAGTGCATTGGCAAAAATGCCAAAGTGGACACAAACAGCAGCATAAATTCCAGCAAGGCGCGTACAAGTGTTCGCTGCATATTCGATCTGCATAAACAGTTTCCGTTTCCGGGCAAACACATTTACATAGCCAGCCACTTGACGGGGCTGTGTCGGACTGGGCAGGGCAGGGCAGGGCAGGGCAGGGCCTTGTGGTTGGCTTCGCCTGGTTTCGCCTGGTTTTTGGGAGCATCATCAACACAACCGCAATGGTGGCCGCCTTTACATTAAATATTAACCCGAAACGCTGATAACACCCACACATTACAAAACATGTTGGACAGCCAGCCGCAGCGGCGGATGCTCCCATGCACAAAAGCAAAAATAACTTCCATCTTGTAGTTTTTTTATTCGCGCAAAAATACCGCTCAAAAAGTAAAGTAAAATACAAAAATAAAATAAAATAAAATATATATACGTATATATATGTATATATAAAGTGAGGCATTGGGAACGCAAATTTTTCGCTTCACTGAATTATTCATGAATGCAATTTTTGCCAACAAATAAAATATAAGCAGCCATCCAGCCATCGCTGCCCCCTTGAGCATTGTGGGCGTGGCAGTGACTGTAACTGCAGCTGTGACTCGAATGTCGCTGCAGTATTTAGCGTAAATTAAAAAGAAAAGCAAAGAAAATGCAAAACTCTGAGGAAAATTGCTCATGAACTTTGTGTTGAGTTATGAAAGTGTATGTCACAGTATTTGAGAGATGGTGAGGGGGGAGCGGGGGGAGAGGACGTAAGTTGCAGCGCAGGGCGTATACTTGATATTTAGCATTCAGCATAACCACCAAAAAATGAAATAAAATAAAAGCGAATAAAGAAATATTCGCGTGCTTAATTTTGTGGAAATAATATCCAGCGGCTCTGTGACAGCGGCTCGAATTATTTATTTATGTGCGGCAAATACGCTTCCATTCGGTTCGATGAAATGAGCACAGGTTGACACACATATTCAGCTGGCATTATTTGGGCCCGGAGCCCAATTGAATTAGCTATTCACGCATATTTTATTGTTTGCCAAGCGAATCTCCTGCTGTTTTTTTTTAATTAAGTTATACTTGTGGTTTTATGAAACTCGAAATATATATGTACACATAATTGGAGCAGAGCAGAATCAATTTCAAGGTTGTATTCTTTCGGCTCATATATGGAAATAAATATCACATGTATAATATTATAATATTATTAGTTGGCTGACCTGCTCAAGTTTTATATGATCGTTACATATACAAATGCATATTATAACTTCCCATAATATACAGTGTCTAACATTAATATTCGCTATTTTATTTTTCAACTTCAAACGCAAATAAAACATTGAAATTAAAAAAGGATAAACGGTAAAATATAGATTGAAAAATTTTCTTTTCGATGAGGTATATATTCTTATAGAATATTTAATTTATAAATTAAACTTACTTCCCTTATGCCTTATTGTTTTATTTTCCAGCTTCTCACAAATTCCTTTTAAAAATGTAACAAAAAAAGAAAATACTATTTTAGCAACATTTTCATAAATAATTTGATACGGCTGTATTCATTGATTACTTTTCTGTTTCCTAGTTTCCTCACATATTCGTTTCTTGATTCTGTGTAACGAAATTCGAGTCGAATGCCATTTCGAATACAATTTGCTATTGTACCATGGATTCATTGAAGCTGTGAGCATCTGGCACCTTGTTATGTGGCCAGAAATGATTGGCAATACTGTTGACAAGAATAAGTTTCAATCATCATAGAAGAGTTTCAGTAGAGGCAGAGAGATTTATGCAGACAACCAAGTTTGGAAGTGAATTTAAGAATTAAACTCAGAGTATTCATTACACTCTGTAGCATAGTAAGGCCAGGAATGTATATTAGGCAGTGTCAACTCAGAGACCGTGCATTCCTTCAGGGCTGTTGGCTGGCAGAATGAAGTCGTCGCAAGTGCGTAAGGTCTGAGCGCTCTCTGCAACTGAGAAGGGCCATTAAAATAATCGCTGCAATAACCGCATTTTGCACAAATTTCAACTGCATTTTTTATTTCATTCTCTATCTCAGGTTCTTTTTTCTATGTTTTGTTCTAGTTTCTGTTTTTTCGTTTTTGTTGCTCCTGTCGCTTTTGTCTTTTACCTTTTCGAAGTCAACAAGGAGAGGAGCGAACATTTGCATGCATAAGTTATGGATGCGCCAGCTAGGGGATTGGGAATTTGAGATGGGCCACAGAAGGAAGAAGCTCAGCAGCCGGAGCAGGGTGGAGGGCGGCGCCTGAAGAGCTGCGCAGCATATTGACACAGTAAACTGCTTAGATTGTCAGAGTTCGAGTTGGAGCAGGCCCAGCTCGTTGAGGAAGATGCATTGAAGTTTCAGCAAGTGCGCGACTCAAAGGTAAAGCCGCAATATGCCACGAATACTAAACGCAGCATACTTTCTTCTCGCTGCACTTCCGCACGTGCCACACTCTCTGCCCCAGTGCCAGGCATTTAGACAAAGCACACACGTGTGTCTGTGTGAGTGTGTGTGTGCGTGTTAGCCATGTTTATGTGTAGCAATCGCTGTTGCTATTGCTGCTGCTGCTGCTGCTACCCGGTTTGTGTTACATTTGCCAACTTCGACTTGCACACACACACACTGCTTATAAACACACCTACACACACACACACACACGCATTTGCACTCTGGGCACATGTATCATATAGCTAAGAAAATCTATGCCCCTTGGCTCAGCGTAAATTTTTGGGCTATTTTGCTCAACAGCCAGCAGCCAGGTTGATTTTACTTCTTGTTTAAGGCAACACGCGAACGTCACGAGATTTTCTCATTCTCACTCTCCCTCCCCCAATCTCTATCCCTCTCTCATTAGTTGAGAAATCGCGGGCAGAACACGCCATTTGGTCCGCTTATTCGAAGTGGTTCGGCTTTGACTTTTCAGTTCGACGAATTGTTTCAACCTTCGGCTCGCGACTGCGCAAACTGAAAATGAGAGAGATAAAGAGAGAGAGAGAGAGAGAGTGGGAGAGAGAATCAGATTTTGAAAGGAGTTTACTAATGTGAAAGACAATTTCTAATTACTTGGGGAATATGAAATAAAAATAATGGGATCCTGTTGCTGGTACCCAGTATCTAATGATAGTAAGCTTATCGATATTGTATGACAATTTAAATATATTTTACTATAAATAGTTACAAATTCAGTTGTTATTATTTTTATATTCGTTTATATTAAATCTAAATTTATTTACATTTAATCTAACTTAATTTAATTATCTGCTTTGCCGAATTCTCTTAGAAAAAATGAAAAAAAAAAAAAAAAATTAAATAAACAAATAAATGAATTATTAATAAATAAATATGTATATAATAAATAAAATCAGTATTTTTTTTTAAGTTTTGTACATATATATTAATAATTAAATAAAATTAAAATATATTTGCTTATATATTTCTTATATCGTTTACCTTGCCTAGCAACAAAATCTAGACTTTATTCGAAGACAACTTTCCCCACATTTCGAAAGCTGTTGTAGCTCACTCGCCTGCATTTCCCGCTATGACCCACTATTAAAATACAGGGATTTGGCGTTAATTTCACTTTAAGTTACCCCACGCTGCGAGGGCTCTTCACTCGTATGCATGCCTCAGTAAACGCAACTCGAGTTGAGATATCCGCTCCGGCAGCCACAAACAACGGGGCGCTGAGCCGAGCCCACGTCGAGTTGAACTCTCTTGGTGTAGGTCATAAACAGATTCAGGTGAGCAGCAAACACCTGGGAGAGTGGCAGTGGCAGTGGCACTGGACCGCACTGGATGGTGGGGGTGGGGGCAGGGGCCGAGAGTGGTCCATTGTACTATATGGGGCTGTCCACTTTAACGACTGCACCTGACCAACTGCAGCTGATGTGTTCATCTTAGTTTATTGCGCCTGTATGGCGTAGAGTATATACTTTGATGGGAGCCAACTATATATATATTATAAATATATAGATATGCATGCATGTGTGTATATTTTTGTCACATATACTTGAAAGGGCTTTCGGCGACTTGATTTTTGCTCTACGCCAACATTGCTTGAGCGGATCGTCTTGGGACTGTAGTCAACAGCATT